GGGGGGGGGGGTGCATGCATTCCACTGCCTTCTCCCCCACCTCTCAAAGGCAGGGGGGCTGGGGAAGGGGTGGTTATGAGCCCATTCCAGCCTGGCAACCCAGGCTGTAGGGGAGTGAAAAGCCCCCAGTGGGGGCTTCCCCCCACCAGCACTGGGCAGACCCCAGCTGGGGGAGCCAGTGCTCAGCTGAGCTGGTGCGTTTGCCCCCCAAACCCCTGCCTCTCACAGCCAGGGGCTAGACAGGGGGCAGGGCTGAGTTGAGCCTAGGCCAGCGAGCTGCTTGCCTGGTTGCTGCAAAGACAATATGCTCCCACTGCTGGAGCTTTCCTTCCCTTTGTCCTGTACAAACAGTGGATTTGGGGGGTAGGGGGTCTTGAGATCTGTTCCCTTGCCCACCCACATCCCACCAGGCTGGCAGGAAGCAGAGGCTTTAGTGCCCTAGTTTTGCAATACTGGAGCAGACAGCACATCTCAGGACTACAAAGCATTCTGGGCTGCTGGGGGACTGTGAATTAACTTGAATTGGGAAGGGATCTAAAACAGAAGTTCCATAAACTAGTTTGACTTAAATCAGTTAAGTCTGATACTACAACCAATGAGGTTTATCTTACACTGGTTTGGGCCATTTTGAAAGTGGTTTATATGCAATGAACTTCTGTTCTGTTTCAGATCACTTAAACTGGTTCATGTGTAACTTCTGTCCCTAACCCAGGGGCACAGGATCAAAGCCTCACACCAGTATTAAACAAATACAATAATGGAAACTTATGCATATGTGAATAAGGTGCAGCTCAGCTCTACCAAATCTGTGCATAAAGGTGTTTAGCAGAATAGTTAAAGACTTTCTACAAACAGAGAATTAAGGTAAACAAAAATAAAACTTCTTCTAACATGTCTGGAAGAACAATTGTATTTGAATAACCATCTTAATCATCAGTTTCAAAATAATAACAATGGTCCTTCAGAAAGTCTGGTTTAAATTATTTGCCTCCCTTCTATCATAAAACAGTATCTCTGTAATCAGACTAAATATTTGCAGGTTTTGTATACCAGGTAAAGAAAAAAACCCACAATATCTATCAACAAAAACAAAGCAGAACCTTTTAGTTCAAACCTGAATTGTATGTGTTGTAACTAACGCTGTGGTATAATAAAATGAGCAATGTAAACAGAAAAAATAGCTGGCCTTCCCTGTTCTTCCTGGTAGACGTGTCAAAGAACTTCAAACTAAAAATATTTAAGAAATCTGCCTATTTTACATCTGTTATATTTCTAGAATGAATAACTGAAAGTTCATGTGAAAGTTCATTTTAAGTTCAAATGTGTCATATTGGGTCATTTACAAGCTAAAAGTTCATTGGAAGGTTAGGTTCTATTTTTTTAAATAAAAAAGTTACTAAAAGAAGCAAGTTGGCCTTATCAGACATTCTGTCATTTGATTATGTTGTGTAATTTTAAGTTAACCTTATTCTTAAAATGTAACCTTTGTAATTTTCTAATGTTCAAAATGCTATAGTGAATAAGCTGTATAAAAAACCTTCAATGATAGATGGGAAATACAATTAAAAAGACAAATTACTCAAAGTTTAAATAGGTTGTTTATCCAGGCTTTTAATCTTGTAGTCTGACCTTCAGATTTGGACTTAAAAGTAAAGCTAGAGTGAACATAATATTTCTGCTTCTGTTGACATAGTTGATAATATTTTAGAGGGTAGTTATATACATGGGTTTTTTTTAAATTGAGCTATGACTCCTTTTAAGGTGACTCAGTCAAGTGGATTGAAAACAAACCTTTATCATGTAATGCCTTCAGTAGTGACTTCCTATACCTGCTTGCATCTGTGTGTGTGCTCGTGTATGTCTGTGTGAGTGTCTGTGTGTGAGTGTGTGTGTATGAGAGAGAGAGACAATGAGCGGATCAATAACAAAAGGAAGGTGAACTGGAATTAAACTGCAATGAAATCTGAAAGACTATTTTCACAATAACACATCCAAAAATATTAAAGTCCTGCAGAAATAGATGGTTTATAGACCTAGTGAGTGTGTTATATTTATTTTAAGAAAATAAATTATGATAAAATATAGGCTAGTCAAGGAGCAGGTTTAATGGGTTGATATAAATTTAAAAAAATAGGTATAAAGTGAATCCTTGTGTGGTAAAACTGTGTTTCAAAAGAACAGACTTAAATAAAGTTGTAGAGAACATGTGGAAACTATGGTAAGTACCTTAGTATGCCAACATAACTGTTATTGACTGTTTTTATACTCAAAATGAGGGTCCTCTTTTTGCAGCAGCACTAACCTGGAATTTCAGTAATGGACACTTGAGAAAAGTCACATGTGACATCTGGTAAGAGATAACGTTGAGGGTTGCCAATTTCATACACCAATTGTTCAGCCACAGTACCGAAAGAGACTAGGCCTCCTGTGTCTGGTGGCTTGGATATAATAAAGTGTCCATCAGAAGAAAATTCAACTATGGGAAACCCCATGTTATGCCTAAAGAATTAAAACATTAAAAAGGTCAATGTTCAGAATGAAAGGGAAAAAAAGTATCATTAATCAATTAACATGCAGCAACTGCCATCAGCCTCTTTATGATAATGACTAAATATCAATAACTAGTAACAGTCAGAACACATCAGAGGATTTTCTTACACACAAGTTCAGGTAAACATTGAATACACTGCAAAGAGAATAAAACTAGCTAAGATAATAAGAACACATACTCATTTAATAGTCTTATTTGTTGCTTAGCAATACAATTTTGATTAAACTGAAAACAGAACCCTAACAGACACCCACTTTAACTAGAAGAGGGGTGAAAAAAGAGCCACAGACAGAGATGCTAAACAAGTGGCTACAGATGTAGGAAAAGTAGTAAAGTAATAGGGACTCATGAAAATACACAGTAGAAATAAAACGGAGGTGAAGGATTTGACCTTTTGACAAAAGAAAATGGAGATGAAGAACTGGCCATACAGCTTGACTGGGAAGACACTGGCTACTGTGGTAGACCAGTTAAAATGGAAAGGAGAGGGAAAACCAAGATTGTAAGATAGAGAGAAGTAATTCTATAGCATTAAAAGATAAACTGAAAGATCTTGGATACAAAGCATTAATTCAAGCCATTAAAGCAATTCTCTGCACATTGTAAAAGTAATAACAGAAAACAGAAGATATTTAAAGCAATTACTAAGACAAAATTCTGCCCTATAAGATTATAAAACTCAAAAGGGAAGAGAAATGTGATGCAAAGCAAGGGGGGGAAAAGCACTCTGACAAAGAACAACACAATCTAATTGCACAGGGAAAAACCAAGAAATAAACAAGAGGTGTTAACAGATACAGTGCCATCACTGCTGAAGTGCAGTGGGCTCTTCATGGGTATCTGGAGGAAATCTAAAGACCTACTTTACTAGTTTTAAATGCTCTTTTTTGTTTTAAATAACTTTTCTAAGTAGAAGCAGTGATCAAAAAGACATCTGAAATTAAAGCAAAGCTTTTATAACTTCTGAAAAGGCCACAAGAAGGTAGAGATTTGCCCAAGTAAAATTTTCCGAAGACAGGAAAAGAGTAAATGATAAAATTAAATCAACTAACTAGCCGCAGCCCACCCTCTCTTCCCCCAAGTCTTTCTAAAGGTCTAATGCTAAGTAGTGTGGGTATGAGAATTCCCACTGAAGCCAGTGATCATCAAGCCCTAAGTGCATCCTTAAAACAGTTTGTTCATTTTATTTTTATACTCTGGCTCTAATATGGGTAGTGTATTGTACATATAACAAAATTGGTCGCAAAAAGGTTAGATGGACAAAGTCTGGATAATATATAGACACAACATTTTAAAGGAAGTAAGCGAAGAAACCAATGACCTCTTAATTGACATTTGTAAAGTTCATGGGAGCCTGGAGAGATTCCTTAGCAATGGGAAGCTACAAACATAACTCCATTATTTAGAAAAAGGATTAAGAGACAAACTGCAGTTACAGATCAGAAAGTTTAACATTGTACCACATTTGGAAAATAGGGTAATATAAGAGGACAAATAGGAAAGATGCTTCATTATCTGGTCTCTGAGGTAGCAGCCCAGTTTTACAAGTAAGGAACAGGCACAGGAAGACAAAGTGACTGGCCCAAGGCCATGAAGCTAGTCAGAGAGAGAAGGTGGACTAGAACTAGGGAGTTCTTGGCTACTAGTACATTGCCCAACATCATTATACCATGCTGCCTCTCTGTACTGAATACAATAAATGACATAAAACTGCAATATTAAACACCCTTCCTGAAGGTTGGATCTAGCCTTCTCAAAGCACCCATGCAAATCTAATTCTTCAAAATATAAGTGTTCATTTCCTTTAAGAGGGATTGCCTGTTAGTCAGACCCAGCATAGCTCCCAGAATAAAAGGAGCAGTGCAGGAATCAGTTAAGAAATCCTGTCAGCCAGAATCCTTACTCTAGTTGGTGCAAGTCTCCTTATAATAGACAAACACCTACCAGGCCCAGCAGCAATACTTGGAATGGTTGTATTTTTTGTTTAAATTTAACTGCTTATGTCATTCAGTGTGGGTCTCTGAAACTGAGGGGCAGACATTCTACCTAAACACAGGTTGCTTAGAAGAAACTCTTTTTTTTTTTTTTAAATTGAGCCACGTTTTCATTCCTGATTCCAAGTTAACTGAATCTGTTTAGTTCCCAAGCAATGTACTAAAGGGTTTTCACTAGTCACAAACCCTGCTGGTAAGAGGTTGAATCAAGTGTGTATGATGATAGAAGTTTTTGTTGGCTATTAAAAACAAAATGCCAGGATATGGATATGGAAAAGTAGTGAAAATAAATACCAGAAAAGCTTATTTGACTTTAATAACTAGACCAAGGGAAAATGTAGTATGTCTCTAAAGTCTACAGAAATAAGTATTTCGGAACTTTGAGTGTTTCACTTGGCAACTTCAATTTCCTTTTAAATACATTAATTAATGGAATTTCTCAGGTTATTTTAAAAAGAAAAAAGAAAGAAACTAAAGAAGTGTCCCCATGTGCAATCATTTGCTAGACTGTAACAGAATACACTGTAATACATAATATATGCAAACAGTGAGACAGGTATCTTATCTCCTTGCAGAGATGTTCTAAAAGCATACTGGTACTCAACGCTCCGTGGGAACTATGCTTTAACAATAATGCTTCCACATATACAGTGCTCCACCCAAAGTTCAAAACCAACTGCCTAGCAGCAATGCACTTATATTCAAACAACACTGATTCAGTCAATTGACTTGATGGCTCATTATTATCTACTGGATTCCTGCTAATAGCTCTTCACTCCACAGGTGTTAATGTCTCTATCCCCCTTTTAATGGTCAAGATGTTCCACTAATCCAGATCAAGCAATCCTTTGTTCAGAAATTTTGTTGCCTGTTTGCTAGCCCTATTCTCTCTTCTCCTATTTCACAGCCCTGCAAGCTGTTTTGGCATTTCTCAAAATCCTAGATACAACCATGGACTCCAGTCTTCATCCACAGTTAGCTTCAGCTTTTGGCTGAGCAGCCAAGCTGCTGCCAGTTCAACTGTGAAAGGGTTTTACCTGAATAGGAAAGGGATGGTGTGCAAGCTGAAGTTTAGGTTCTGTCCCTGCTTTATGCAGCCATAACTCTAGAAAAGTCTTTTTTTTTCATTCTGCCTTCCCAAAACATGGTGCGTGAATTATTTGTGGGCATGTGGTATGCTAGAAAATTTGGTATGCTGACCACAAGGCAGACCTGGGGCAGAAGAAATTAAGAAGTAAAGATCTGTAGAAGGCAACAGAGTACATCAAAACATTTGAAATCTGTTAAAAAACACACTGAGATGGACACAATTAATACAAGCTCGTACAACAGACAAAGAAAGCACATAGAAGAGTACAAGCAAACTTGGTACAACAGATAAAAACCTATGGAGAAAGGTTTAAATAAGTTCATAAATCAACAAATTGTAAGGTGTGTCACCAAAATTGATGTGGTCATATCTGGACAATGAGATGTTCCTAGCTTGTGATACATAACATCATTGGGTTACAGTGGCATGATCAGCAATATGCCTGGTTTTCAAAAAAACACTGGAAATATTTTTGTGATGTATAAGCACTTATAATGGATAAAAGGGTGGTAAAGAGAATGTGAGCTTAGTCATCCCCAGTTTCACAAAGTGATACAAACTACAGCTCTGCAGGAATTTTTCAATGAAAGGTTTTTCTAGTTCTGGGATTTCTAATTAAGTAAAGAGAAAGAGACACCCACCCACTCTGCTCTATCTGATCTAGAGCAGGGACGTAAATGTTTTTTCAACATCTATGGTTAGCAGTTGCTATTCTGTGACTCTCTCTCTCTCTGCTGTTTTATGAAAAACATGCAAAAGGTCTCATTTTTATCTGCATGAGAATTAAACCAAATGTCAAAATTTCAAAATTTTTTCATGAAATGAAATGGAATTCTTGTTTTCTATCCAGCCCTATTACAGAGTAAACCCTTGTCCTTTTACTGACTAAACTCTTGGGATTCATTGCAAGAAAATAATTAGACTGTTTCCACTGCCCCCCTGCCTTGGGTTTCTATCATGGGACAGTAACTTAAAATTGTGGTCACAGCTCACAAAGCCCTAGCAGAGAAGTTGCCCTGGGTTTGACCTGTTCTGGCACTTTGGTCATTCCCCTCCCTGGCCAACACTGCTACATGAAAAATGACCCTCACTTGCTCCAGGCCCTGGCAGACTGAATTAGTAAAAATCCAGATTGCAGATGTTTATCACCCAAGATGCAATGATCTGGCATTACCCAGTTTAGCAAACTGTTGCAATCCTCATTGGTATAGCAAAGGAAATACACCACAGACACTGAGTAATTGAACTTTGCCAAAGGACAGCTATAATGATGGAGTCCAAAGTTCAGCGTGTACCCATTATTAAGAGAATTACTTTGGCCTAAAACTATAGTTTGACTACAAGAAAAATCTCACAGAAGGAAGCAGTATATAGCAATACACAAAATTCTGAAGGGAAGTTAATATGATTTCAATAATGCTATTTGATAAAGCAATTTGAAAACAAGAGGTTGGAGGTTAAATTTAAAGGAAACAATTGCAATTTCTTGACATATCAATTGGCTCAAATATGGAAACAGCCAAAGTCCACAACAGAAGCAAATAATATAAATAAGTTTTTAAAAACCAGACAAATTTTTGGATGAAATTGTGGCATGCACTGTTGCTTGTCTCATAAGTCTTGTGTTGACTGAGATAATATTAAGTCACTATATATGTTCTAGATTTACAAGAAGGCATCTTAAAAATATTTGTGTCTATTATATAAAATTTGTAGTGATGTTGTAGTTGCGATGGTCATGAATTATACAACAGGCAAGGATTTTCTACAGTGATACCTTTTACTGGACCAACTGCATAGCTGAGATAGAATTAGACAAGGTTTCATATGCAAGACATTCTTCTCTTCAGACCTGACAAAAACT